GAACGGGAGACACCAGAGTCTTACAATCCATACCTGTTCACTACGGCTAGGCAGCCTTCCAGAACTTTCGCGAGTGCATGGAGAAAGGAGAGCCTTTTGTTGGAGAAGATGACGGTAGCGGCTGGATTTGGGCTGTCGCTGGCCTCACTGTTGAAAACGGCCTGACCCTGGAAATTCGGAAATCCACCCCTTTGGGCATGCGAGCGCTCCTTGTGGCAAAGGAATCCAAGGTGGCAGAGATGTTTGATACCCTCAACTGGAAAATTGTGAGGCAGGAATTGACCGGATAGTCGGAAGAAAATGATTACCCATACATTACGGCAATCGCGGACTTGGTAAATTTGTATATATATTATGTTTATATATATATATACACATATATATATATATGATAATATACACACACACATACACACACACACACATATATATATATAAATATCTAAGAGTATGGATTAGTTTGGTCCAATTGCAGTGTGAAGGGGAGGCAGGCTAGAATTATTGAATTAAACATCATCCAAAAAAGGAATAGAATATCCTTTCTGTCCATTTGGGCCCTCCAAAACTACGATCCACAGAGCAAGCAAGACCAGACTTTGGCAGGCGGCGACTGAACGAGGTCTTGGGCCACCGAGATTCTGAGGGGGTGACTGTACCTGGCTATAAGTCCCCATGACGTGGGAGCAGCACAGGTAAAAGATCTTGGAGCTGGGCAGGGTTGATCAGCAGGTTTGGGAATGGAACAAACTTATAAAATATTTCCAGAAGAGTGTGGAAAGGGTTTCAATTTTTACATTGCATCCTTTTTGCGGGAATGAACGTAGAAAACAAACATGCTATGTGGGAGTGTAAAATGAAATCCCTTTCCAACAGATGTGACACAGGCAGCATCAGAAGACACATCTGTAGTTGTAACTGTAAGAGCAAGTGGCATCGGGGAATTGCGGGAAGTTATCAGCTGCCATAGCTGCTCCAAAGACAAGGACAATTTCTCATTGGAAAGACTCCTGAGCCCAGAGTGTCAACTGTATACAGAGCGAAACGGCAAATGAACCCACTGCTTCCACATTTCTGCTGTTAAGCCGAATCAGCAGTTTGCTGATCATTTTCTTTTCATGCAGGGTTAGACCAGCAACCAACGTATGCAAAATGAGCGACTCCAGCCATGTGGTTGGAACCAACTGCAACGGCACCTTCGAAGAAGTGCTGCTGAGATTGCACTCCCTGGAGAAGCGAGTGGATCGGATCGATGGCAATGTGCAAGGCCACCCTGCAAGTTGAAATGTGAAAATCTTCGCACCTCGTAGTGTTGTAGGGTTTTTTCAGCTGGTGTTGGCTGGTTGTTTTGGTTAAAACGGTTTACGATGTACTTTGTACTTCACACTAGGTTCGACCACCGTTTTGTACGTGTCCCTGCCCATGTGCTTACCATGCCAACAGGTTCACCAAACTTCGTGGAACCCACGATCAAGTTGGAAGAGAAGATGCTTCAATTTGAGCTGCAGCTGGGCCAATTTTCCGGCGTTGTCAGTGGCTTGGTTGGAGTAAATCACTGATCTCCAGGTGTGGAACTATCTTGGCGGCAAGTTCACTGGTGGTCAGCTAACTCCAATTTTATCCCCTAGTATTTCGATGATTTTACTTCAAAGACACCTCCATTTAGTTCGGGGATTTCCCAGCCATGGTCCCTTGTGGTCCCTTGTGGTCCTTGTGGTCCTCGTCTCCGAAGGTGGCGTGAAAGAAGCACTTCTCTCTCAGACAGGACAGTGTAGCCGCATCGAGGAGAAATGGTCGAGCCAGTTGCAGGCGCTCCAGGTGTTCCAGCTGAAATCTAGTGGAAGATTTCTTATGGATGACCCAAGAATCGTCTGAAATTGATGAAGATGTTCCCCAAAATGGAGGATCCTCAAATCCCCAAATCACCCTGATTTTGTCGTTTTGAATGAGTATAAACCAATTAGGAATGAGAAAAACATGTTTTTAGGGCACCCCATTGGTAGGAAATGCCCAATGAAACCTTGTGAATACAAACAATGCGCATACCATCGCATACCCACTTGACCAGTTGAAGTGCCAACTAAGGCCAACTTGCAAACCTGCGAGCTGCGCTTCACGACGGTGAGCCAACAAGTGGAAAGTTTGTCTAAGATGGAGTCTTGATTCGCAGTAGTGTGGTAAACCCAAGAATTAACCATTTAAGGATGGTTTATACTTCGGGATGTTTATAATAGGGTTTGCCACATTAGCACCAGCATTTCTTTAGAGTTTAACACTCACGGCCATACATCAAACCATGTCGCCCTAGTCATCATCGAAATCATGGCAAATGGATATTCATCTTCCCCAACCTGAATCATAATTTTTCATCCATCCCCATATATTATATAATTATTGTTGGCATACGCATGAACCAATAGATGAATCTACATGTTGAATTCGATAGCTGGGGCCTTCTGCCGTTTCTTTTCCAGGTGTCCAAAGTGACGAAGGAACAGCTCAAGGTTCACGACTCGTCCAATGATCCGTCAGTCGAGTCGCTTCAAGAGATGCTGGTGAAGATGAGCAGCCGTGTCTCGAACCTTGAAAGCTGCTGCGACTGGACTTAGAACATTTGGGTTTGTCTTAACAACTGGGGGATATACCATGGAATAATCCCATTTTGGTGGACTAGAAAAAAAGTGATGGAGTTTGGCGTGCCCCAGTTTCAGACAAACCCATTTCGTATTTTGTTGTCTATTTTTTTTTCAATGTCATGTGGGTAGACGGCTTGCTGCCCCTCCGGAACTCAAGACAGCAGACTGAGAAGGGAGTTTTCTCAGCACGCCACGCCCAGGTTCCGCGAGGGACAATCGAGCTGGAACCGCTGCTGGCGTTGCTTCCGAAGTTGTCCCTTTGAGACCTCAGATCGTGGAGCTGCAGGAGAGTGCCGAAAACTGTTGGGGCGACAAAAGATGGATTCAGTGGGACCTTGTGGCATGGTCACGCTTCTAAGAATGCATCGATGAAATACATGGTTTTCAAGTTCTGTTGTCAAGTCCCGGAGCACAATGGTGGCAACATGTGTTTTCTTGTGCAGGCCACCACTCAGCGCTTACGTACTGAAATTCTTGCCGCTCTTTCCAAACTTGAAGAACAAGCAGTGCACGTGAGCTCCTGCCGAATCCGGCTGGATGCTCTCGAGGCGGATGTAGTGCTCGAGGCAGATCTAACGTCACAACCGTAGGTGCTTTGCTGAAGACTGACCTGTTGCAACCCTGTTAGAAGAACTTCTTTTCTAGTGGATTTATATATATATATATATTATATTTATATTAATCCTAGACCAGCTCGTCGAGTTGAACAACCATGCAGTTGCAAAGTCAACTGCTGACGGACACCCTGGCTGCGTTCAAAGATGGGTCTGAGGAAAAAGAACAACCGCAAGTTGGTGCAGTGGGGCTATTCAATTCGGGGAACTACTCTGCCAATTTTGCCAAGAAGTGACCATCCCTTTGGCCACGCAATTGGATAGCCAAAAAGAGGATGCTTTTCAGTGCGGCCTAGAAGGATGACAAACAAGATCCACCATGGAAGAAACGAAGTTTTCCAGATATAGTCAAATATAGTCATATAGTGAACCCCTACCCCCTCCTATGATCACACCTTACTGATGTTTTCGCATCATCCTGGCATGCTAAGGTCTCAACAGCAGATGCAGCAGATGCAGATGCAGATGCTTGTCTCAGTGCTAGTTGGGTGGGATTGCCTGCAGTATATTTGGGGATAGAAAGGGCTGCTAGGGGCAGTGGATTAGCCTTGAAACGTTAGGCGTCCAAGTTTTGGGTTGACGCACAAAAGGGATAGATTTATCCGAAAGTCTTGAGGTTTTAGCATAGATTTGTCCTCCAAACCGCTCATTTTTGCTTCACCTTCATTTTAAGGACGTAAGTCTATAGGGGGGCCGTGTAAGAGGAACCCAGGAACCTAGAGCACACCAAGACCCCCAGTCATCGGGCCTTGCGCCAAATATGTTTCTGCGAGGATGATGATGCAACAAATGGCCATGCAGCAACAGATGGGTGCAATGCCCGGGTCTCAACGAATCCACAGATGCCCAGTGACCATTGAAGCAATTCTTCGTGAACTTTTGGGAGCCCACCATTCACAGGTGTAGATGATAATGTATTCCTTTTCGCAAGTGGCAAACTTTCTGGCTAGTATGGTGTCGCCTATTGAGAGAATGTCTACCAGCACTGCAATGATCGCCCTGCCGAGCGCACCGAGGTCGCCACAGATGCTTGCCGCCATGCAAGCGCAAGCGCAAGCGTTTTCAGGACAAATGCCGCAAAGTGGGCCGTGTAGAGCTCAGCTCGTGCGACTGCTGGAATTGAGTGGTTGCAATGGATTGATTTAAGAAACAATGCTCTGGCCATCAATAGGGTCTAGGGCTTTTGGGCGCAGGGTTTTCCTTCGAAATTAATAGCATCCGCATTTACAATTCTGGGATGAAGCTGTGAATGCTGCGTGCAGGGTCGAACTTCAACTACTGCAAGTCTTTAGGGTCCCTCCTTGATCTAAGGAGCAATGGTTTGAATGCGAACGCCCCTGAGCACCTGACCCAGTTCTGAGGGTCTTGGGTTTTAAGGCTTTTTGCTATGGCATTCTAGATTCAATCTAAATCCAATTTGGCATGCAGAGGACTCGAAAGCAGCACTTGGCACATACTCGTACCACATGACATCGGTGTTCCAGTCGGTTTGATTGCCGTGTGAAGGTATGACCCCACTGCATCCATGAGTGATGACAAGGCCAGATCTCTACCCGCTTATTAGTGGGTTGGACTAACAACTAACCAATCTCTCTCTCTCTCTCGATATACACATACGTCTCTTCAACTGACATTTCCATCACTGCAACAGGTGGCACAGTCACAGCCTCAGGATCTCTGATTCAGTGGCAAAAGCAGGTGCATTTGGCACAAGATGACCCCAGGTATCTTGTCCAATGATTGATGGTGGTTCATGGCATCTGCCGAATCTGTGCCTTCTGCAGCCATTTTGGCCCGGGGGCGTCAGAGGTACCTCGCTGCCACGGCCAGGCCAAGCCCGGCCCAGCGACACGCGACCACGGCTCGCGACATGCGGCTGGATTGTGGTCGGGCCTTGTTGGAGATGGTGCTTCCGCAGCACCAAGAGTTGAGCTTTCAGGAGGTCAGTCAGATGGTTGAGAAGATTTCCTCCAATCTCCGCTTGCAAATGGATGGAAATGGTAAGGAAGGCAAGGGGCGCTACTTGGTAGCGAGATGTGCTCTGAAGGCTGGAGAGGTGATTGTGTCTGAGAGGCCGATCTTCGAAGGAAACACCGATGCCCAGAAGAGTGAGAAGATTTACTCTGAGGCCTTTCTCGAAAAACTTCAGGCCACTCCGGACATGGAAGATGATGTGGATGATTGCTTCCATCCACGAAGCCCTTTGATGGACTGCGTTGCGGCAGTGCTCCTGTCGAAGCAGCTCGTGGATGAGAAGTCTGCCTCTGCAGACATACGCGAAAAAGCTGTGTTGAATTTGCAGAAATTCTGCTCGCTTTGCAGAAGCCCAGTTCAATCAACAACTGATTACAACGAATGTGTGGAGGACCTATGGGGTGCCTTGAAGCCAGAGCTGCAGGAGATTACTTCCCGTGAGGAGTTGGGCCATGTGCTCCAGATTCTGAGCTGCAATCGCTTTGGACATGGTGGTCAGAGTGTGCAGTTGATGTTTGCCGGCAGCATGTTCGAGCACTCCTGCTTGCCAAATTGCTTTTTGGGCACGGCATGCACGGCCTCCCCAAATGCTGATGGACCTCAGACCTATAGAGCACTTCGAGACATTGAAGAGGGCGAGGTGTTGTCAATCGACTACTTGAACTTTCCATTAGGCTATTGTTCTATGACTGCTCGCGCAGAGGCTTTCCAGAAATGGGGCTTTACGTGCAGTTGCCCCCGGTGTGTTGAGCTACCCGAAGTGGAGCGCAGTTTCAATTGTGCCGAGTGTGGCGAGCCAGACTTGTGCCCCTGCAGGCCTGGAAGTTCAGTGCTGCAATGCCTTTCTTGCAAAAAAGTGGCCGACGCGAGCTATGCAGCTCGTTGCTTGGAGAGGGAGGCGCAGCTTCAGAGAGAACCAGCAAGTCCGGCACGAAAGGTTGGAGAAGAATCTGATGATGAGAATCTCTTAGGCCATCGTCATCACCTGGTGGTCCATGCCTTGTGGGAAGATGTGGAAGCTGGCCTTCCAGATTCCAAGGAGCTTCCAGCCTTTCAGCAGATGTTGGAGGTGTTGATTGAGAGCGTCTCGTCTGCCTCTAGGTTGGAGGAACACCCCGCCCTGTTGAACTTGTACCACCTGGCCGCCCTGTCCACACAAGATGACTTGGAAACTCAGAAACACTACTTGCAGCTGGAGCATCGTATAATGCAACGCTTCTTTCCCGAGGAAGCCCAGCGTCAAGATGATGAAATCATGTCACTGGTGAAGTGCAATGCACCCCTGAAACCCACAGAAGCTGGGCTCGGGGGAATGGACTGAGTCATTTGGCACATGTGGCGCGCCAATGACAAATCAGGAAGATTGAAAAAAAGTGCATCGCGACAAGCTGATTTCAAACGCTGTCAGCACTTTCGTTGTGAACTCTTGGTCTGATTCATCTCAAAAGACATCCATCTCTTTTGGAAAAAGTGTCGGGTGTTCAAGTCCAGAGTAGAAAGAACACGTATTGACAAGCTGACAGGCTGAGAGCGAAAACTGGCTGTTGACATGAAGTTGACATTAGCTCGTTGGATTCAGTATTCGCATTGCATCCACTGAGGCCGACGAAGGAGCCAACACAGCTAGAGACAGTGACAGCAGCGGGCACAGTCCTAGCTGCGCTGGCTGTAAGTTGGGAACATCAGTTCAGGAAGTTATCCAACTTATGGCAAGCTATTGAAATGGTCGTTTTCAGTTGCTTCTGCATTGCAGGGTTCCTTCCAATGCATTTCTGAGTGCAGTTATACTATATACAAGGCTCCCATGACAGATGCTGAGGGAGGGCACCACCTTGGCAGCCAAGGTGGGTCTATTTTTGGAAGAAATTGCCTACTTCATGGAGGCAACACACATTGTGGGGGGGAGGAATATGTGTTTTGTGGGGGCAACGGCGGGTGAGGTGCGGATTGAGTTCCAGATCTCGGGTTTCTCCTCTCATCCCACAATGGTGCTGCGTTTGGGTGAAATGAGAGCATCAAAGGGGCCCAACTCGACCGAGCAGGATATGGAGAGAGATCTCTGGTGGCTGCTGCGCATGGCTCACCAGCCTGTGTGGCACTCAAAGATCTCAAAGAAGTGAGAAACACCTTGGGCACAAGGCGGAAACCTGCTACTTTTACATTGATCAATGGACAGTCTCCATTCTCTGTTTAATGTCAAGTAAAGAGCCTAAACAAAACTTGTCAGTGACTTCAACTTCATTTCATTCCTCCAAGAACGGGATTGTTCCAACTTCCAACCCCAATGGTTGGCCGAAGCACCCTGCAGCTTTTTGATCCTGAGGCTGGGCCACCGGAGCTGATTCACGGTGACGAGGTCATTGAACCCGTGGATGCTGCTGTGGAGGCTCCGGTGGAGATCATGGCGATGCAGCGATGCACATTTCTGCCATGGTGCGGTGTGACGGTGATGGCAGGCAGCCATCCAGAAGTTGAAAGAGCGCGCAGACAAGCACGCGGAGGAACATGTGGCTCAGGCTGGAGCCCAGCAACTTTGACTCAGCTGCGTAGACATATTTTTGAGCAGTCTTGCACGTTTGGTACGTTGCAGTGCTAAATGTCCAGTCACGCTCACTTTGAATGGAATCTTGGGAAACCTGATCTTTCCGAAGGGAGCTGGGACTGAGCTGAAGGAATTTGTGTTCGTTCAGGTCCGCGCGAAGATAGTCATCATACCTTCAGTTGACAAGACCGAGTGCGATGGCCTACTGTCAGTTTGGGCCAGGGGGTTGACCGCCTGGGAACAGCATCTGACTTGCAGCGCCGGTGTGGCCAACTTCAGGCAGAATGTGTTGGAAGTGTCACTAGTTGTAGAAACTGAGGCACTGACCGCAGCTGTTGCCATCAAAGCAAAGGATATGGCATTGATGGAGCGTTCGAAATAGATCCCGTCAAAACTTAAAACCCATGGTTTTTCTATGTTTTTTTTCTGAAGGGCTTTCTGGTGGGAGGAAGGGTTGTTCAGTTCGGCAAAAGGTATGGCCAATGCACCACTCTGTTCAGTATGATTTTGAAGACCGTCATGCATATGCAAGTCCTTTGACATTCTTCCGCAGTCATGCGCCATCATGGTACGCTCCACCACTATGCAGCAACAGCTGAGTGGTTTCTTTCCTTCCCAAAACTGCTTAGGTTCCAGGTATGTTTAGGATTAGGATGATGTTCCCCCCAGATCCCAATTACCCAACACGCATATTCTATATGTATATAACTATACACACACACACGCATATATCATATATATATATTTAATACACACATATCACATATGTGTATAGTTTAAAATGTGTATCATATGGGCATATATGTACCACATGTACGAACACATAGGCGATGGACAAATCTGAACACTTTGACCACCGATCCCATGCATCCCATGCACAGAATGCACAGCCTTGTGGTGGGCGCCTCCCGCGGGCTGGGCCTAGCGCTCACGCGGCACCTGGCCGAAGTGGCGCACCGCGCCGGCGGCTCCGGGGGCTCCCAGGGCCGGGTGCTGGCGGCGGCGCGGCGGCCGGTGCCGGCCTTGGAGGAAGTGCGGAGGCGACAGCAGCTGTTTGGTGAATGGTGTGCTGTTTGATGATGGATTTACCATACTATACAGATACTATATTTATACTATATTTATACTATATAGATCCTATATAGATCTATATAGTTACTAGTAGCTGCTAGCTAGGAGTTATAGGTGGGTTCATTGCAACAATCTCTGACCATTGTGTTTGCACCTGTGACTGGATGTTGCTAACCAATGGTGGGGTAAGCCTAGGCACCTTTTGCGGGGTGGAATGGTAGCAGTATTCAGGAACACCCATGCGGCCAGCATGCTGTGATTGTTCACCAGGTCCTTCCCTGACATCGTCGAAATACTGGAACTTGATGTCACAGATGCTCGGCTTGGCTTTCTTGGACATTTGCATCATCCCGCACACTGCTTTATCATCTTTCATTGTACACATTTGGCAACATTATTTTTTGCACTGAATTTGACTCACATTCATCCAGAATCGGACAACATTAAAAGATTGTGCTGCACTTTGAATCGCAGCATCGCAGCATTATCTCCCACCTTGTTCAAGGATCCTGACAGCGTTTCCTCAGCAGCGTCCAGAGCCAAAGAGCTGCTGGAGTCGCCACGCGGCGGAGGCGGCGGAGGCGGCGGACGCGGCGGATTGCATTTGCTCTGCCACACTGCTGGGCTGCTGTAGCATGGCAGCAACGGGACCAACTTCTCTTGAGATACTTGGGTGTGGTAATCAATAAGCTGTTTGCTGTGACCACAATGTGTATCAGTAGGCATGTAGCTACATATATATATATATATATCTTCTTGCAAGGGTGCAGCTGTGTGGCTAGTTTTTAGGTGTATCGTGGTTTATCTTTGTTCGTATTCATGTGCAGATTTTGCACGCCAGCAATCTGATATCATTGGCATGGTAGGCTCGTGTCTCCATCAATGCCATGTCAAGCACTGTGAGGCAAGACAAAGACCGGGGAGTGATCCCTGAGAATCACCTGCAAAAAGTTGAAGCGAATGCTTTGGCCTATTCCTTTGCTGTGAGCCTGGGTGCGAACGAGTTTTGGAACTGTTTCAGCTCTGTCACTTAGATGATTTAGTGAATTAGTCACCGAGTCCTGTTTTCTGAATTTCTGCTCGCTGCCCTGGCAGTTGGCCTTCACTCTGAGGAACGCGATTGGGCCCCTTTTGGTGTTGAAGCATTTTTCGCCGCTCCTCAAGGCCGGTGCTACAGATCAGAGGACTGAGGATAGCGATGTTCCTGGAGCAAGAGCCGTATTCTACAGCGCGCGCGTCGGCTCCATCGGCGACAATGCCACTGGACCTTTGGCTGAGAAATGTTTCAACTGTTCCAGGCTTGGTTCTCTCACCATGACCATGACCATGTATTTTCATGTTTTTTTGCTTCTAGATGAGGTGGCTGGTACTCTTACCGGAGCAGCAAGGCAGCATTGAACCAGGCCTTGTTGTTTGATGGGATGCCTGGTGACAGTCGCTGTTGGAGATGGTATCTCAATGTGGTTCACTTTCCGTCCCTTTTCAGCCTGTTGTAGTCAGAGAATCTGCCATGCAGATGGTGCGCTGCGCATCCATAGAACTCCGGCGACACTCGGTGTGCTGCTTTGCGCTGCACCCTGGGACGGTGGACACCGATCTCACTCGTGCCTTCGCACGTGCGAGAGCAAAGTACAAAGTGTGCCTTGGTGGTAAAGCATGTGTGGTGCACATGGTGGCTGATGTCTTTTCTCAAGGCTGAAGCAAGTCCACGCGTGTGGTTTTACGTCATGACACAATGTGTGCTGCATAGTCTTTTAGCCAAGGCAAGATGTAGATGAAGCCGTTTGGAGCTAAGTTTGTGAACGTATGGTGGTATACTTAGTATACTTCAATGTCGTATTGTCGTACTGGGCAATGTGGAAGACTGAGACTGGTTGTGAAACCAGGTCCAGAAGCATCTTCAAATCGTGGAGTCACGGACGATGGCAGATTCTGGGCGCTTCTTCGATTGGCAAGGGAAGGAAGTGCCGTGGTGACAGAGGACGGAGAGCAGTGGCATTCTATTTGTGTCATCAATCTGGTACACTTCTCATGTTGAAAAGATGTGAACATTCCAGGCCATTGTGGGCTCAATCCGTTTGGATTCCAGACATCTGGGCAATTTGTTTGCATGATTGCATTTGCCCGTCACTGCATTTCCCAAAGCCAAGCTTGCTGCAGCCCCAAAGAATGAAGATGGGCAACGCGCGACAACTGCATTGGAATATGGACCAGCTGCAGCGCTGAAAAGAGGAACCAAAGTCCGAAACACTTCAAGCGCCTCGTAGATGTGACCAACTATAGACCCATATCCACTGGACATAGGGGCGAACACAAGCAAGCACGCAGTTCCTAGATGCTAGTACTCAGTTTGTAGGAGACCAAAATGATCCACAGGCAGACCAACCATCATAACCATCATCTCACATCCCCACTACATCACCATTTTATCAGCTTAAATCAATTGGTGATGGTAGATCAACCATTTCTCACGGTCAATCCCATGACTTTGACCTCTTGCTCCCAAAAAATGCCGCTGTATGGTCTGCCTGGCGTGCCAAGCGGCACCTGCACCGTGGCCGCGGGCGCTTCTGTGCTGCTCCGCACCTCGGGGCTGGCGCTGCTGCGATGCTCGGCGATGCACCGTTGGTCGAGAGAATGGTAAGCCAGGATGAATAAACCGCCCAGTTTGTCAATAGTAGGGCCAGTAGGGAGGGTACTAGCTTTGTATAATATAATATAATCGAAATTCATCACTAATCACGAATAAGCCAGTTTATACTGTTCATTGATTCAGAGCCAGTTTATTGTTGGGATAAGAATGGCAAGCCAGTTGATTGACAATAGGGACTTTATTATGACTGTTTTGGAGGTAACCCCCCAAGTAGTAGCCGGTCGGGGTTTGCGAATCCGGGGGTGACATGGAGCAGGATCGTGCTAGCTTTGCTGCTTGTATCATCTTGTATCTAAGGAAGGACTAGACCAAGCATCTCTGAAGAAGGGGATGAGGACGATGAACCAGAAGGCAAGTGGGAAATTGGAGCGACCCAGAGGGGAACATGCATCTGGGGCCATGTGAAGCAGTTGCCATGTCAGCTGCCAGGTTGCCTTGTCTCCAGGCTGCAGTTGAGTTTGTGGCTTGGGCGTCTTTGTTGTCGGTGCAGCAGGTCCTGTATCAAACTACAGGGTTTGAGCCCGCCATCTAAGGACGATGAAAGTGGAGGGCCTCATGTTTGCACTTGGCGAATCCTGTTTGGTGATGCCAGTGATGCCGTGTGTGGTTGCCAACTTTGCCAACTTTCAACCATGGCCTTGCAGGGCCTTGCCTCCCCACAGCTCCAGCTCAGGAATTTGCTGGGACTCCTTGGTGCTGTGCAGCTATATTTTGGCCTGGTGCTGGGCCAGCTGCCATTCATCCTTGGAGTGCCTAGGCATTGATGAACATTGTGAGCGAATTGTGACAGGCCCATGGCTGAACACACACCTCCCCAGTGTTTGTGGGGACCGTGGTTGTAGGGTGTTGTACGGTGTATCAGCAGCCTCCACACCGCAGTGGCAACGTGTCAGTGATGTATAGTCCATACTCATTCCTGTCCAGCAGCGAAAGAGAAGATAGGCAAACGATGCAAGTGTTTGTGTCTTATTATATTTCTATCATGTGCGGTAATAAGGTCTCTACAGACAACGAGGGCAAGGTCGCTGCATTGTTGGAGAACTGCCTGATCCTCGCTGCTGGACTGAAGTTCGTCCTTTGCAATGTACGGTGGGAATCAGGGTAAAACCAGGTTAACACAGTCTGATTTTGGGTGCCCGGGGTTTTGCACAATCTTGACTTACTTTGTGTATTGTATTGATGGTAGTGAGCAACAGTTTCCTCCAGCGTGTGTTATGCTGGTACAGTTGGAGGACTTGAGCCAAGAGGCAATCGTCTCAGGATTAAATTCATGCTGGTTGATTTGCATCTGCTTGTTTATTGTCTGTTACTTCACGTTGCCCTACTTGCCATGATACTCGTATGCATGTATACATGTATATCAGTGTGCTCAGATACCACCTTCCGTGATGTATGCCAAACAAGCTTCCCAGACACATCCCTTCACTTGCACGCTTGACATATCTTCCAAACTCAGAAAAGGCTGCCTTAAAGTCCTAGAGTTCAGCTGTAAAGGTTGAAGAGAAGAGCAGATCACCGAAACAACGCTTGTGAAACAACAAACCGCTCAGCTGGCCTTTGGATTTTCTCAGGGCTGCTGGTTGGTGGAGCGCTTCTGCCTTTCAGATGCGCCGTTGCCAGCCATTCAGAGCGCCATTTGCATAGTGAGCCTTGGCAGACTTGGGATGCTTTGTTCGTGTCCCCAGGTGGTTTCCCAAAACTCTGACCAGTGGTCTGCGGGCACCTACACTAGCCAAATATGGCAAACTTCTTCCGCCATGTTCAGCCTGAGACTGCTTGCTTTGAGGATCGGCCTTGCCTGCACCATCATTGATTGGGCAGGGCCAACGCCCTATGACGATATGCGCTTGGGATTTGCCAGCCAAACAGCAGGTGCCCAGTTGGGACAGTTGCTTGAAACGTGTCTAGCTGTTGGATCAATCCCCTGCTGAGCTCCCTATGCGATGCAGGCTGCGACGGTGGCTTCCGGTCACCCTTCGTTCTGTATGTCAGCGCTTGGATTACTGGGCTGGTCTTTGGCACCTTGCTGCTCTTTTTCGAGGATGCTCTGGCACGGGTCGTTGAAGGGGCATATGATATATTTCAAGGTTCGAACTTCAGTTCAATGTGTTGAAGTTGAGGTTTGGCTAGCATGGATTTTGGAATGTTGCTTTAGATACTTGGATCCTCTCACCTCGCCATTTTTGGAGGAGGGTGCCATCTTTTCCTGTGGCGAGAAACGGCGGTGGACAACCACTGGCCTTCCGATTCGACAGAAAGCTTTGCCGGTGGTCTATGGCTTGGCCACATCAATGTCCTGCGTCCTTTTTGCCACAGGCGTGCGCTGAGCATTTCTGGGAGCTGAGAGGTGTGAGCGGTGTGAGTCCTTTTCGCCTTGAAGTGTCAGAGTTCACGGAAGGGGTATGAGGTGATAATCTGGCAAAGCTTGGGGCCCTGGTCTCACATTGGATTGTTTGATACAACGAACATCTTCCCAAAACCGCGGAGACAGGTTTGAAAGTGCTGAAAACGCCCCAGCCCGAGACACCCAAGACATCCCAAGACCTTGTGACATTGTGATTTGATCGCTGACATCTCCTAAAAGCTTGGAAGGTTCGGCCAGCAACGACATGAGTTGGGTCACTGCCGGAGTTCTGCTTTTGGTGATCTCAGTGGTGTGCACATGGGATTTTCTCTGGTGCTTGGACATGAACCTGGCCACCTATGGAGCCCTTTTCCATGGAACCTTTGTCTGCAGAAAACGGAAGTTGGAAGACCCTGAATCAGTCGTTGACTGAGAATAGGCAACAAATTCCTTCCCACAAAGGCGACATTTGGGATGGTGCTTGATTTTGGGAGTAAATACCTGCAGTACAGATAGTGATAGTGTACAGGTGTGCATGATTGAAAGTGTAGATGGGCGCTATTCAATTGAAGATGCAGGAGCGCTTGGAAGGTATGATGCCTATGCCAGCCCCATGACATTTCTCAAGCCTCATAGCAGGTAGATGCGCTCCCCCTTTTGGAGTCTTTGCCTTTCCGTTTCCTTGTCCTTCACAGCTTGTTGATTGACGTGTTACGCTTCGTTCTTACTTTGATGTGTGGCTGCCAGGATTCGCTACGGGCTTGCGGGCCATACAAAACCACGCAATCTTCCGTGATCTGCGCTGGGATCCAGCGGATGCTCATGGGATCTTGGTGGTGTACCAGTACCCCGGTCTCCAGATCTTTATGTAGCTTGGCATCGGAAGGGCCGTTTGTCAACAGAAATGCTTGGGTCATGGGTTTCAATGGGTTTCATGGCAAGGGTTGCAGGCTCGGCCATGTTATGTTGTCTTGAAGATGCCTGGAGTCCTCTGTCCCAATGGGATTTGGTCATTTTGGATCCACTGCGTTGCGAGGTTTGGGCTCTTTCTCATGTTCTTGTCCCTCCAGTTTTACCTGTACACCTGCCACTGGAAAGTTCCTTGGCTCCACTTTCCCGCTGGAAAGTGGCAAAAATTTGAGTCGCCTCATGATTGCAATCTGAGGAGTGGAAAAACCCAGTTTCTGACGAACCAGCTGGCTCTACACACGCCTATGATCTCTTAACCATGCCTCACGAGAAGCACAAGGACTTCCTGTCAGGGTTTGGGATAGAAAAATGCCTACAGCAGGTGGGTAGCCAAGGGTTGTGACTCCTTTCAGCGTGCTTAGGCAGACGACGTCTCCTGCACTCTGACAATTGAAGTCATTTTGGCCACTGACTGGTGTGCAGGAGAATAGGCGAAATGCCTTTGAATACAATCTACAAGGCACAGTTGCACATAGCTGACATAGCTGACATAGCTGATGTCATGTTTAGTTCTGCACAACTGATCCCAGTTTCCATGTGAGGCAGCGGTAGCCGTTGGTGGCAGTGGATCCTGCTGCCCCTTTGCATCACTTGCCAGATCATTGGCGTGCACGTCCCCTTGATTTACACAGAATTGTGGCTGCAACTGGAGGAGGTAAGTTACTTCAAGATGCAGGGAACTTTCAAGATCTTCTGACTCAGATTTGGGTTCGGTTAGATACCAAAAATTTGGCTTTGAAGGCTTCGGCCACTCATGAGAAGGTTGCGCAGAGTTGCCCTTGAGTGCATGCAGCACGCGGGATGGCAAAGTGGACGTTATTGGAGCATATTGGAGCTTTTGCACTAGGCTGCCAGATGTTTCCTAGAACTTACTAATTTGCCCCTAGCCGTGTCCCAGGAGTGCGTGCTCCCAACATTGACCTGGTTTCATGATGATCCAGATGGCTACAAGGTCTCTGAAGGAGCCATGGTCAAAGAACCCTCCAGGGTTGATCCATGTGCTTCAGTTGTTCGGGTCTGTTGATTTCCTGTTGTTTTTCCCTCGAGGAGAGTCATACATTGACGTCATACGCTGGCTCTATCAGAGGAAGTTGCCTTGCTCAGCTCTGGATTCTTGGCAGGATTTGACTTTGAAAATCAGTTTTGAAGGGCATAGGGGACACGGTATGGATGGTGGAGATGTGCGGCTGAGGTTGCGGCATACAATGCCATGCTGCTTCCGCCGCTGCAGTTTCTCATGATCCTTGGCTGAGCATGTCTCGCCTGCACTCAGAGCAGAAGCTTCATCTAGGAGGCCTATCGTTTCACCCTACCGCGTGGAAGGGATCTATACTGCTTTTAACATCCTTTAATCTTGTTTCATAAGTTTCATACTTTCCACCCACTAAAGCGAAGTGCAGAAGGGAGGTCGCCAAGTCGCCAAGTCGCCCAGGATTTTTCTGATTCTTCTGCAGCCGCGGTTTCTTCCAGCTGAGCTTTGCCGTTCTATGCAGCGCCTCAGACTCTTACAGTGCCGTTCATAACGGGCATCAAATGGCATCAATCATTGTTGTTAATCGCCTCTGGTGATCCCTGGATGCCACAGATGCCAAGGAATTATGTCATGACCTTGGCACCCATGCGCTTCACACAACCATCCATCATGATGTTGGTCGTGGGGGTAGCCAGCCTTCCCATGGAGAATCAGCACCCAGAGACTTGTCTGATGCCTGGAGCCATCTTGCTGGGTGTTGGTAGGCTGCAGGCGCACAGTTGCGACAAATGGCTTGTGACTGCTGAGGACAACATACAGTATGGTGGACACTTTACCAGTCACTTGGCGCAGATCCGGGACAGTTGGCCAAGTCAAAAGCCAAATGACCCGAGTCTCTGGCGGCAAATGTAAAAGTAAAGCAACCCTTTCGCAGCACTGCGCTCAGGTGGGTATTGGTTCTTTTTGACCTACTGCATCACCAACTTGATCCTCGCATGGTCCGTGCAGCCACCTGAGCTGCCTGACACCCACGAGGTGCGGGACGCCGAAGATACATAGCAGGCATCTGAATATGGCTGTTGGATGGTTGTGTTGTTGCTGTTGTGGTGGTTGCTACCTCAGTCTTCAGGTCGCTCCCAAAAAGATCCGACGAGATCCATTGCTTCAACTGGAGCTGAAGAAGCATTGGCTACTCATCTTGATTTTTTTTGGGTGGTGGTGTGCCTCTGCTTCAAAGGAGCCTGGCTGGTGGTCGCATAGGTTGTGGGTTTTGATTTTCCATCAGTTCAACAGTTCAACATTTCCATCCAAGCTGATGCTTCACTTCCAAAAGCCCAGGCAGATGGAGGATTCCGAGGAGGATTTCGATGAGTCCCTGCAAGGCTCCAAGGCCTCCTTTGCTGCAAGAGCCTCAGGTTGGAGGTGGGGAGTAAAAGATCATGGAAGATCAACAAGTCATGTCACTTCAATCACTTAAATGCGCTTTATACATTGCTTGGGATTTGATGTGATTTTTTTCCCGGATCCACCAACTCAAAGCTGGCTGATGGGTTGAGGTCACTGGTCCTTTGGCAGGAGGTGTGGCCATTGCAACAACTTGCATTTGGCTGGCTTTGACAAATCCCTACCTGGAGTTCGAATTCCGGATAGCAGGCAGCAGGGTATCGATGTTCTGGGAGCTTATATACTGGGCGAGAATGTATATAGATCCAAAAAAATCCAAAAACATGTTCATATTTTTCCATTTAACACGCTATATTTGGGAAGGTTCCAGCATGTTTCACCCCTTGCGAGATGGTGTGGGAATTTCGTTGTCACCAATAGCCGGAAAGAAGGCGTTGTCTGAGGCCCTTAAGGAGGGATCGTTTATATAGTCCCGGCAGGTGTTGTGATCCACAGAGTCACTCCAACTGTTCTGGATCTGTGGTACAGCATCGGCTCTGTAAACCGCTTTCTCATGTGCTACTGCGTGGCAACGTTGACCTTTTGCTGCAAGGTGAGAGAAACACTGCAGGTGGGCACAGGGAAACAATACAAAACTATGTGTCCAACTGAAGGTCTAGCATCCTTGAATCAGTAGTGTGCTTGATGTCATGAGTTGCGAGGGACAGTGACAATTCAGCTTGAACAGGACGCCCATGTCAATCTAGCTTCAATGACCTGTATACCACATCACGAGGGCGTCATGCTTGGTGCTTGCGGTGCACGCCCACTTTCAATGTAAGGATTGTCTTCCCACTGCTTTGGCTGGTTTCTTGGCATAGGCTTCACTCCCTTGTGGTTTGGAAGGGACATTATGCAGGTGAAAGTTGAGTCGAAAAGATGCTTCTCTTGGACAGGTCCCATGTGGATTGGGTCAGGATCAAAGAGAGTCTGCGAACCATTCGAAATGAAATCGCGCAAATGTCTGGACAGAAGGGCCCAAATCAACGTGTGCAGAGGGCTTGGATGGGCTTGGCATCTTGTGCCTCCGAGCATGGAATCTTCCCCCTGAGGTCTTGCTGTGTGTGCGCCTAGCCTCCAAGAGACCTGGGCTCGAGCCCATGCTGCGGCCCTATGTGATGTGCCACATTTGGGCAGCTTCTCTGGTGCCTGGGACCATCTGGGACCTTGAGTGGCGTTCAATCGCAGTGGGTTTGGACAACAGCCTGCAGGATTGACTTTCAACTCTGCTTGATGCGAAGCAGGATAGTGATTCTTTTTCCTTGCCAGGTGCTGATATACTACATAGTGCAGCTTGGCTGGGTTCTCATCTGTCCCTCTTATGTCTTAGAATCGAACAAAATGGCCTTGATTGTTTCTAGCCGAACTTTCACTTGCCCCGATTCCTGATGAGTCCTGATGTGGCTATAAGATGCTATAAGGGTTTTTGTCGTTCACATTTGTGTTGTGCACGGTTCAGGACAGCGCGGAACAAGAACGTCATGGAGGTCTGTGCCAGCTTCCCCAGCGTGCCCATTGCACCTGTTGCCATAGTTTTCATGGGCGCAGGCTGGCCTCAATTTGAACAGAAACATACCTTTCAAAGACCAGTGGCAATGCTCGAGAGACAAAACCGGGGTAACGAAGACGTCCTATCCATAGATATCCATAGGTCCATAGATGCATTCCTGATCATTCTTGTCCGGTCCCAGTTTGCAGCTGATAAAGTTTGGCTATTGCTGCAATTGCTGTTGCTGGCGAGGCACCTTTGCACTGATCCACATGGCCAAAGCATTGCGTCACGACCCGCCAGCCGATACAGCGAGCAACATGCAGCTGCCTATTGGGGGCAAAGCACTGTGGATGGGAGGGTCAGGGGCTCAGCATCAGCTCTTTAGCAGAGCTGCCGGAGTGGAAATGTTTGAGATAGGATGGGCATGTTTTTTTTTTTGGTCTGTGCCTTGATATTTGCAGCTGGACATGCAAAGCAGCAAGCGGATATATTATATTGAACAAGTGATGCCCCCCAGTGGTATTCGGGCTCAAGCAGGGAAAGAGTTAGCTGAAAAGATGCCGAAGTCGAAGAGGGCGAAGGTTGTTTCATTGACCAAAGTCAAGAAGCGGCCAAAGGAGAAGAAGGATGACTTGATTGAGGACATTCGGGAGTCCTGCGAAAAGTTCTCGCGCGTCTTCTTGGTATCTATCGAGAATGAGCGCAATCAGTTCATGCAGGAAGTTCGGAAGCAGCTCCGACCTGGGAAGCTGGTGTGCACCAAGAACAAAGTCATGCAGACAGCCTTGGGTACCAGCCCAGAGAATGAGTGCCAGGACAATATCCACAAGCTCTCTCAGATGATTTCGGGCCACTGCGCCTTACTTTTCACCAACCAGAGTCCAGAGGAGGTGGAAAAGATCTTTGCCGAGTACCGACCAAGTGATTTTGCTCGTAGTGGTTCTAATGCCACAGGCACCGTGACACTATCAAGAGGTACGGATGCCTTGGCTGCATTGCCACACTCCATTGAGGCCCACCTGCGGCAACTAGGGTTGCCAACGGTCCTAAAGGAGGGACAAATCCACCTGCTTGGAGAGCATACAGTGTGCACGGCCGGCAAGGAACTTTCAGCAGATGCAGCACAGGTCTTGAAACTTCTGGACATCAAACAAGCGAACTTTACCTTGACAGTGGAGGCACATTGGCAAAAGAACGGTGACTTTAAAGACTGTTCTGCTTTGGAGGACTAACTGAGCAGCCACCATCTTGAAGTAAGATGTGTGGGAACATTCAGTTCCTGGGCTTTGGCCTTTTTGTGAACGTTCCAACACGCCTTGCTTCTGCTGATTCTTGGTCTATAGTTTTGCTTGTTCATCGGTATCACCAAAGGTTTGAGCGATGCCACTCCGCTGTACAAACCGCCAATTGCTAAGACGCCGCTGCTTCAGCTAGAGCTACTGTGCTGTTTCAGCGGTGCACGTGTCACCCCTGATTTCTAAAGCATAGCAACAGATGTCAGAAAATGGTGCTCGTAAAGCTGCGGGTTGGATGATGGGTATCATGTGGTGAAAAGAAAGGTGCAATATTCTTCTACTTTTCCTGTGACACTAGCTTAGCTCCTCAGCTCTTAATAAGTCGCAGTTCACCCGAGGCCCGCCCTAACAGTACTGACGATTGGTGGCTTGCTATCGACTTGCGGACCTGTTCGGCCTCCCACCCTGCGTAGTCTGCAGGCGGGCAATGATAGAGAAGTGAAGTAGCTCCTAGTTTTCCTCCAGTTGGGACCCGACAACTGAGCAAACGGTCAATCCTAAAGCACTCTTGCTCCAAAGCAGGAATCATTCTGCCCCAATCAGATGTGTACCAAAATAGAGGGCCATGATGGGCCATGATTTTTCTTGTACGAAACAGATCGCAGCTGGGCGCTGGGGATGGGGATGATTGTCGGATGCGGAGCACCTGTGCCGTCAGGATTTGAACGAACAGTTTGTTCAACTTGGGCCCATCCTCAACGAACACCTGTACCAAGATGTGAGCGAATCCTTCGGTTGCTTGGCAAATCTTGGCATTGGTTTAAAACTACACAGGGCTCAGGGGTAGGTCGGGTAGGAGATTTTTGGGGGTTGGCCGAACAGGATGCCGGCAGTGGGTTTAGGATTTTCTGCTATTTCATTTAGCTTAGCTGCACAGCTCGCAGCCAGGTGACTGCAAAGCACTTTGGGAATACAGAGTTGGTCAAGGTGCGAGCTGACTTGTCATATTTTGTATAAACGCAATCTTCACTGCACTTGACTAGCCGATAGTGACCCGAGCTGATAGCTGACATGAAAGCAATGCAGGCGTACTTTCATAAGCATTGGGCACATCGGCATGTGATTGTCCACTTGTTTCCATGCACCAAAAACTACCGATGCAGGAGAAGTTTCTGCTCAGAGCGTTTGGCAGAAAGAGACGTGCTCCGGCACCACTCCCTTGTTTCAGAAGGAAGTGACGATGGGAACAGCACCGCAGAGGCATCGCATCAAGACGATGGTGCTTTGGGCCAAGGCACCAGCTGGTAGTACCTGGTAGGGTATGCCGGGTTGTAAACAGGGGATGCACCTGGTAATGGGCTTCCAATCAAGAGGAAAACTCCATGGAACGGGACATCCCCCATCCGCAGCACCTCTGCAGGGTGTCAACACCTTGGAGGTGGAGCGTGTTCGGGTCCAGCCACCACTGAACCCATTGGTTGCCACACAAGAATGGCACCTGCGACTCGCTTGCAGAAGATGAAGATGCCTGTGATTCAGCTACGGGTCAAAGCTTGCCGTATTAAAGGGATAAAAGGATCCTTTTTCCCATGATGAATGATTTTGGCCTGGTGTTGGCATTTGGTATTTTCTTTCTTTAGTCACATTTGGCATCACAGGAGCAGTTCCCCCTGGTGGTTGATGGTTGGTTATTTGTGATTACGCCATTACGCTAGCTGTTTTCATGGGGATTGCTAACATTGATTGGGACTCCGCACGCACCAAGATATCCAAGATGTATTGGCCTAGCAGCCCAACCTAGCGTGAATGTCTTCCTTTCTGCACGTTTCCCCAGGAATGCATCGGCTGCTTTTGCTGACTTGCATGTCCCGTGGCAGGTTGATAGTGGTTGATGAGAGCTACAGCTTTGGCACTGTAAGGTTGTGAAGGTACAGTTGAAAAGTTGACACGTGCGCGCACTATATGTATATTATAGAATGTACATGATGCCATCATATTATATATGTTAATGTTTGTGCGCATTTATGCCCTCACACTTCCATGGCGTGCGCCACACTTTGTCGTCCTGATCAAAGTGCTGGGGTGGTTCTATGCATTTGAGCCTTTGATTCGGAAGACCGCGCTAAGGTTTTCATGAAGGTCTTCGTTGATGACAAGGAGCATCAGATTGTCAGATACTGCGGGCAGAAATGGCATCAAAGTAGAACAGTGCAGCCATATCCAAACCATGCAGTTGTCGTTGCTTTGCCAACTCTATCTTTTCCCTGTAAGTCAGATTTGGCCCTGGTGAGGAGTGGTATAGTGGCTACATTTGCTGTAACCACCGCTTTCATTTTGCCCTACAAGATCCCCAGCTGCAGCCGGTGCACCGTGAACCAGTGGGACCAGTGGGACCAGTGGGACCAGTGGCACTGAGTGGGACCAGTGGGACCAGTGGGACGAGCCGAAGCTGAGGTGACTGCCCGATGTCAACAACACAAGGGTTTCGAAGCCTTGGACATGAATTTGATGCAGATGGACCAGGCTAGGCTGCTGAATTCGATATATTTCGATATTTTTTTCGATCATTGGAATGATTGGATCAAGTCGACAAAGGCACGCCAGCCCACACACACACACAGATATATATATATATATATACACATACTTTTATAATATATACGCATGGTATATACACATTTACACACACAGAGACTGAATTTCACTCGCACATGTTTAATCATCTTAAGTCATTTTAAGTCATTTTCATGTTTGGGACATGTAACGTACAACTGCAGCGCAGGTGACCTTGGCACATGACGCCGCAGTGATCCATGGACCCGCCTGGGCAGCGGTGACCAGTGATGTCGGGAGGCAAGAGATGGTCACCTGGCAGATGGTCGTTGAGGATTTTGAAGTGCTGGGGTATGTTATTGAGTCATACAAAGGATATAAGTGATATGAGTGATATAAGTGATACAAGCTACATTACATGAGTATACATAAGTATTAAACTTTACAATACTTTAATAACTTTACACATTTAAGATTATTGAAAGATAATTCGATGCCCGAGCGACTGAGCGATGTGTGATGAGCTCGGTTTGCACCAAATTACTGTATTACGTTCCTGCCTCGTCACGGTTGTGAAATTTGCTGCCTTCAAAGGCGTTCATTGGACAGGGATGGCATGGCAGGGTACATAAGGAAACACAGATCGTTCACTTCTCGAGAGTGAAGTTTCTAAGCCTCGAAAGGGGGATCTGAATGTCTGAATGATCATGTATGTCATGTGAGATTGCCAAGGTGAAACAGGTGATGGAAGACTTCCTTTCTCTGCACACTGGTCAAGTTCTTTTGCAGACTCTGGGTTTGCAGTTGCAAGATGCTCAACATTTCAGTTGCCTCCATGGAGACTTTGGGGTTTGCCACGCTCAACTAGCCGCCTGGGTTGATCAGCTATTCAATCAGCTGCTCAGGAGCCTCAACCAAAAGGCATCACAAGCCCGTCAGATTGCTGGGGACGTACTTTCAGACGTCGTGCGCCTGAATACAGGCGTGGGATCCTTGTCAGCCTGCAGCCCTTCCATGACTTTAGCCATTGAGTTGTTGGCTTCGTTTACGGTGTTGGGCTGTCCTGCCATAGAGGGGTGGAACACTCTGATCTTCATAATTTTTGAAGCACCATGCAGCAAAGTCACCAGTTTCGAGAGTGGTTATTGAAGAAAATCATGGATAAACCAATGAAAACGATGGAAAACTCGATAAAAACCATTGAAAAAAATCCTGAAACCAGTGGAGCGATTGATGAACAGTGCGAATGAGAGATTTTAGCTACAAAATGCAGCGAATGAGAGATTTTAGCTGCAAAAACCAAGGAAGGGAGCCTGGACGACCCCCCAAAACAAAAATGCAAAAAAAAAGCCAACTTATCTAATTTCGCCCCCCTTGCAATTTCACGATATTTCACGCGCTTGGATTGTTACGACCTTCGCGCAGCCCGCAGGCCAAATTTGTGTCACTGACCCTTGAGTGAAGAGCGCTCAACTCGTCATGACACCGCTGGAAAAAATTGCGTCCAACGAAGACACCTTTTGTATGCATTGAACACGAGCCTGCCAAGTGATTATGACAACATAAATTCATCAGTCCACATCAGGAGATTCTGTGATTAACTTTGGTGCACGTTGCATAGAGCAGCAACCATTTGTGAACACGTCATGACTTTGATGCAGGAAGTTCTGCAGCAGCCTGCAGCAGCACAGAAAAGGGAGCCGAGAGCAGTGTCTTCAGATCGCGGCCCATTTCTGTACAGAATCATAAGAATCAGAGAGCCCCCAGTCTTCGCTGCCCATGGCCGTTTGTCTTTGAAAGAGCGCCAAGGCCCCAACTGAATATTGAATAGCACAACCAATACAGCAGAGACAATCCCATTTAGGTGATAACTAGAGTCTACTAAATGGCAGAGACAATGTCCAAACGAGGCACGTATTTTTCAACCTGCTTTCTACGGCGAGAAGAAATCAGGTCAGCATTGAGCTTAAAGCCTCATTTGCTTGGCACTGTTGCCTGCCTGCAGCATGGCGCGAGCACACCAGCGTAGGTGGCATCTTTGTGTAAGGAGGTGCAGACATGATGGCATGGGCTATGGCACGCTGTAGCTCGTCACTGACACACATCACATAGCCTCACAACTTTTCTAGCAATTCTGTGCGTAGTTGATTCAAAGCTATCCTTAAGATTCCTTAAGAACTTTCCCATCGATGTTCCCCACATTTCACATTCTTGAACTTGCTTGCAATGGCATTCCCCCTATGGATCTCTATAGTCTGCAGGGTCCCCTGAAGACATTGCCTGATGTGCAGGCCCGGCGGATGCCAGCAAGGACTCCAAAGAACTGGAGGCTGGAGTGTAGCAGAGGTAAACCAGCCATGGGGATATCATATCATTAGCATTCATTGGTGAGGATATTCATAGAATTGGATGATGGGAAAATTTACAGGAAAGCCCTATATTTGATGGTAAAAACCATGGTTTCCTGTAATTTTTCCCTTAAACCAATCCAATGAGATATTGGGAACTAGATGGGAATAGATTTCATGCGACTCAGATATGTAATGACATGTAATGACATGTAGCATCACTGGCATCACCTTCCAGGATGAGATACCATGGGTATGGAGTTCTTGTGTGGGCCCACCAATGAATCTTCATCTTATCTGCAAGCATTTTGTGTGGGCCCTTAGCCCCTGCCATCCCCTGCCATTTCTCCCATTTTCGCCATCCCAGGTTTGTTCGTTGGAAAAGCAGGGCACCAGAGCCCGTTGTGGCCAAACCTCTGCGCAGCTATGTATCAGATGCTTGGCGATGTAGCGCGCATGCTGTGTACCTTGACGCATCATGGCCAGTTGGACCGCCCAGCCCATGGCCCCATGGCCCCATGGCCCCATGGCCAATGTCTGTTTTGTGCTATTTCAAGCTCTTGTCGATTTACGGATTTCAAGCTTCGGACATACGCCCTTCCACACGATAAGATAACATGGAATTTGAAAATGGTCCATGTTTCAAAAAGAAACACATGAAACACCACCTTGAAAATGGTGGCTTTCACCCTTCAAGACGAGTTGCAAATGTGACCTAGGAATTCCTTGCACGTGGGACGCGGATCGAACAGCGGTCCGAGCGAAGAACGGCAGGCGACTTCTTCCTTCAATTCGATTTTGAAGGGGGGTGGGGAATGTGGTGGCCTCTTTATTTTGACTTTGGATCGGCGGATGGTTTTCCCAGCAGACCAGGTGCGTTTTACCAGCAACAACAACTGTTTGTTTCACCGTTTCACCCACCAAAAAACCAGGATGACATGACAATCCCACATGATTCGGTTAGATAATTATACAGATACATATGCTGTATCATATGCTGTAATTGGTATACCTTGGCTATACTTTAGGGCAACAACTGCGTTTTTGTTTTAAATATCCAAATCCCTGCAGTGGTAGTGGTGCCCAAACCTACCCAGCTTGTTAGGAGAGCAGCCTCCGAGCAGATCGGCTCGCAGTGATTCTTGGAGTGACCTTAGCATCCAAAGGACATTGGGTGATTTTGGTGGGCCTGTCAAAGAAATGGGGACAAACATCCACCGTTTCATGGTTTCATGCGGCGACTTATCCCAGGTCCCAACTGATCAATGTCCCAAGGATGTCCAGCACAGGCATAAGGATGCGAGCCTCAACTGGAGGCTTCGAAAGTTGGGCAGCCGCTAGTTGAACCCCGAATGAACCGCGAATGAACCCCCAATGAAGGAGGCGCAAAATCAATGAATTTCGGGATATTCCGGGTATAGCATCCACCCCCTCATCAGCAAAGGCTCATGGCTTATGGTCGTGTATCCTGTTTTCATCAGCAATTTTGCGTAGGCTAGATTATGCTATAGGCTATAGACCCAAAATTCCCAACAGCAGGGCCTGTTGGGTTTCAATCTCTAGGGCTGGGGCTGGCTCGCGGGGACTTGCAGCCTTCAAAATCCGGAATGGAACCCTGGAACCCTGGAACCCTGGAACCCTGGAACTGGAACCCTGAAACCTTGGAACCCCGGAACCCTGGAACCCTGGAACCCTTGGAACCCTGGAACCCCGGAACCCTGGAACCCTGAAACCCTGGAACCTTGGAACCCTACGACCGTGGAACCCTGAAACCTTGGAACCTTGGCACCCTGGAACCCTCAAGGATTCTGGAACCCTGCAACCTTGGAACCCTGGAACCTTGGAACCCTGCAACCCTGCACACCTGGCACCCTGCTGGGATCCTGGAACCCTGAAACCCTGGAACCCTTGGAACCCTTGGAACCCTGGAAACCTTGGAACCCTGAAACCGTGGGACCCTGGTACCCTGGAACCCTGAAACCTTGGAACCCCGGAACCCTGGAACCCTGGAACCCCGGAACCCTGGAACCCTGAAACCCTGGAACCTTGGAACCCTGCGACCGTGGAACCCTGAAACCTTGGAACCTTGGCACCCAGGAACCCTCAAGGATTCTGGAACCCTGCTACCTTGGAACCCTGGAACCTTGGAACCCTGCAACCCTGCACACCTGGCACCCTGCTGGGATCCTGGAACCCTGAAACCCTGGAACCCTTGGAACCCTTGGAACCCTGGAAACCTTGGAACCCTGAAACCGTGGGACCCTGGTACCCTGGAACCTTGGAACCCTTGAAACCCTAAAACTTCCAAACCCTAAACTCTATGCGCGCTGCGCGCGCTGCATGCAATAAAGTAAACCCTAAAACTTCCAAACCCTAAACCCTAATGCGCGGTGCGCGCGCTGTGTCCCAGAGAAGTAAACCCTAAAATTTCCAAACCCTAAACCATCGTGTTATGCAACTTCCAAACCCTAAAGTTTAACCCGCGGTGTGCGCGCTGCATGCAATAAAATAAACCCTAAAACTTCCAAACCCTAAACCCTAATGCGTGCTGTGCGCGCTGCGTGCCAGAGATAAACCCTAAAACCTTCAAACCCTAAACACTAGTGCGCGCTGCGCGCGCTTTGTGCAATAGAAATAAACCCTAAAATCTTCAAACTTGAAACTCTCGTGTCATAGAGGTAAACCCTAAAATTTCCAAACCCTAAACCCTAAACCCTAACGCGCGCTGCGCGCGCTGTGTGCCATAGAAGTACCCCTTAAAATCTCCAAACCCTAAACCATCGTGTCATGGAGGTTAACCCTAAAACTTCGAAACCCTAAAGTTCAACCCACGCTGTGCACGCTGCATGCAATAAAATAAACTATAAAACTTCCAAACCCTAAACCCTAATGCGCGCTGCGCGCACTGCGTGCCACACACATAAACCCTAAAACTTTCAAACTTTAAACCGTAACGCGTACTGCGCGCACAGCCTGCCATAGAGGTAAACGGTTAAACTTTCAAACGCTGCGTGCCATAGAGGCAAAGCCTAAAACTTTCAAACGCTAAACCGTAAAGCAGGCTGCGCGCGCTGCGTGCCATAGAGTGCTCCTCAAAAGTGATTACATGTCATACTTTAGTGGCATCCTCCAAATTCATTAGTCAGCCTTTGTTAATCCAGGGCCCATTTTACACATGTCATCTTCTTGGTCGTGGCGCCATTTCAGGATCACACTGATGACCTAAGCTTTGGCCTTAACTATTATGCAGGCAAGCGACATCAGCACGCTATGGTATTGGAAGACACAGGGTTTGCCCGTAGACCAGCCAAAAAATCGATTTTCCACACTGAACAATTGGATTTAACACATTTAGAATAGGAGCTCCGCCTGATTCAGATTTCATCACTTAAAAGGTACCCATGCCTGACTAGCCTTCATGACTTAAAGCGTAACCACACCCGACTTAAGGGAACCATGCCTGACTAGCCTTCATAATTAAGAGGTACCCACCCACGCCTGACTTAACAGAACCCATGCCTGACTAGCCTTCATAATTAAAAGGTACCCATGCCCCTGAATTCAGGGAACCATGCCTGACTAGCCTTCACAATTAAAAGGTACCCACTGGAACCATGCCTGACTAGCCTTAATGACTTAAAAGGTAACTACACCTGACTTAATACCTGATTTACTGGTTTTGCCTGATTTTGGAAAAACGCAGGGCCGGAATTTGCAGGCGCGGGCCGGAATTTGCCGGGCCCGGGCCGGAATTTGCCGGGCTGGGATTTTGGGGTCGTGCCTAAATAGGATTTTTGCAAAAATCGTGCATGACTGAAGGGAACCATGCCTGACTAAACATCATACCAATCATCCCAAAAGAATCCAATAATTCCAGCAAGTGATGCCTGACCAATCCCTGCGTCATAATAAACCGTCTGCCCCTCCCCACCCAATAATGAACACACGGAATAGTTTTTTGTATTTAGTGGGTATTTAGTATGAGGGTGCGAAACTTCCCCCTTGGTTAAAAAAATCTAAATTGGAAAACATTTTTTAAATAACATCTAACTAAAATATTGCCAAAATTGGATTCCGAAGCTTCCCCCTGACATTAAATTGAAAACATTCGTTTTAAAAAATGAACTTTATATTTCAAAACCGATTGAATTCCTATTCAAAATCTAACTCAAATCTTGCCAAATTGGATTTCGAAGCTTCCCCTTATATTAAATTGAAAACCTTACTAATCCCCACCTCCTTTTACTAAACGTACCCTAAATACTAAAATATTACATTGATTCCTTTTACTAGGGTCCGCGTTAAATTTTGGGAAATTTCAGGCTGGCCAGTTTGACTTTTAATTGATACCTTTTCAAAAACAAATTAAACATGAAGGTCCCATTTCAGGATTTCACCACCAAAAAATAAAAACTAGTCAGCCCCGGTGATTTTTTAAACTAGGGTCTTTTAAGGTCGAAAAAATAAGTATTTTATATTACAACGTTTATATAATATTGGGGGAAAACTTCGAAATCCACTTTTTGGCATTTCCTGGCAATATTTTTGCTGGATGTCAAAAGGAAATCTAATCGATTCTTGAAATCGAAAAAACACAGTTTTTTTATTAGTGTTTTTAATTTAATCTTAGGGGAAAACTTCGAAATCCAATTTTTAGCAATATCTTAATTATATGTTAAACAGAAAACTAATCGATTTTGAAACAGTTTTTTTAAAAATATATTAGGGCTGGTAATTTAATATTAGAGGAAACATTTCGAAATCCGGTTTTTGTTTTTATTTTTGTTACTACAATTTAAAAGGAAATCGAATCGATTTCAAAAAAGAAAAAATAATATTTTATACTAGGGTTTTTTAATGTAATATTAGGGGAAAACTTCAAAATCCAATTTTTGACCATATTCTAATTAGATTTCAAAAGGAAATCTAATGAATTTTGATATAGAAAAAATAGTCTTTGATATGAGGGTTTGATATGAGGGGAAAGCTTCGAAATCGAATTTCTGGCAATATCTTAATTTGAATTTACAAGGAAATCTAATCGATTCTGAAATAGAACAAATTTAGTTTTTTATATTGGAATTTTTCATGCAAGATTAGGGGAAGCATCGAAATCCAATTTTTGAACATATTTTAATAATTTGATTTTAATTTGATATTAGGGGAAAGCTTCAAAATCAATTTTTTGTTTTTTTCATTAGATTTCAAAAGGAAATCTAATCGATTTTGAAACAGGAAAAAAAACAAAATGATATTAGGGTTTAATATAAGGGAAAAGCTTCGACATCCAATTTTTTGGCCATATTTTATTTAATTTTTAAAAGGAAATCTAATCGATTTCGAAATAGAAAACATACATAGTTTTTTATGTTGGGGGTTTTTATTTGATATTAAGCTTCGGAATCCACTTGTTTGCCATATTTTAATTGGATTTAAAAAGAAAGAAATCTGATCGATTTTGAAATAGAAATATGTGTATATATATATATGTGTGTGTTTCTTATCAGTATTAGGGGGAAGCTTCGTACCCTAATACTAAAGACCCCCCCAATACTAAAAACTCCTCCAGGTGTTTGTTATTTGGGTGGGTGGGTGAAGGGGCGACTGTTTAGCAACAGGGGAAAGGGATTAAACCGTTTTTTTGTTTCTAATTTCAAAATCCATGAAAATAATCTTTAAATAGAATACTGCCAAGAATAGGATTTCGAAGCTTTCGCCTAGTATCAAATAAAACACCAACACCTGAATTAAAAAAACTAAAATTGACCATTTTAAAGGACGGACCCCAATAAAAGACACCCCGGTGTTGACTAGTTTTTTATTCTTTGGGGGTGAAACCCTCACATGGTACCTTCATTTTTAAAATTGTTTCCTCAAGGGGATCAATTAATTTGACATTTCCCAAAATTGGAAATCGCACCTAGTTTTTGTCATTTGGGGGTATTTTTCGTAATAGGGAGAAAGCATTAGCAAAAAGAATGCCTGATCAAAATGATGCTGATTCTGTGTGTTACAATCTTTTTGCCCGCTGCAGTGCCTACAGGGTTACAAGGGATGCCGTGCCAGCTAGAGTCCCAAGTCCATTCAACCAACACCCTAATCGATGAAGTTGGACTTGTTGAAATGGAAGTGGGACTGGACCAGTTGACATGGGGCGATGCTGACCTTCAACGGGAGCTTCGGCGCCTGAAGGACAACAGTTTGAAAATTCCGAACCTGAAATATATTTTCAAAATTGCGTTACTAAGAGTGATCCCCACCCTGACACACTATTCTGACATAGTTTCTGACATATCACCTGGACGTATATGTGGCATATATGTTCTGACATACTATCTTACATTCTTTTCTGAGATTCTATTTGACATTCTTTCTAGCATCCTATCTGGCATCTATTCTGACATACTTTCTGGAATATATACTATATTCTGATCCTGCCTTGCCATGAGTTTGGGCTGGGAGTGCTTTTATTTGCGTGGATCAATTATCCACCAAATGTTGGTTTCACATGTTTGCACCCAATGATTGCCATTACCATTGATGCCCCAAAATGGCCAGGTCCTGAATTTGAGAGTAGGTCCTGACAAGTTTTCTGGGTACTGAAAAAACAGGACTTTGGCACAGGGTCTGAAAAAAGACGTAGGTGGAAGATTCAGGTATGCTGTTGGGTTGCAAAGCTGGGTTAATTCTGAAATTTCACCGGGGCCCGCGCAGCTCTGTCCCAACTGTTTTCCCTCAGCATAGTATAGCATAGTTACTTTCTGTTTGTGTTTCCCTGCAGGGCAGCTGGAGCAAGCACTATTTCTGCCTTGGTGGATGCTGGGCTAAGACTTGATCATCTCTGCATATTCATTTACTTTCGCCTGGGGTTCATGGGAGTGGTAGATCTCCTTGGTGCTGAAGAGCTTGACAAGTTGAGGCGTGCCGGGATGCAGCGCAGTGGATGGAAGCTTTGCAAATCTGCTTGGATTTGGCCCAAGGCGCCCAAGCCCAAGGCGCAGATTGACCAAACCTGGGCGGTGGATCGGTGGATCATCACCAAGGTCCGCCAGTTTGGGTTCACCTTAGCTGCCTTAGCTGCAGGTGAGAAGGGCCTGTGGGAGATGCCAAATGCCCTTGGGCTGCTGTTGCTGGCCGCCTTTGAGCGTGGCTCACAGTGGCGTTGGGCACTGCTGTTTGCTGAAGGCAGCACAGAGGGAGTGGGGAAGTAAGCGGACACTGTGGGAGACTTTTGTAAGCAGACCATAGCAGACCTAGTTATGTCAACAAATGGAAAGTCTGATCACTTCCAGACTTCACGATTCACGATTTATTTTGGGGAGCTTGCACCAGACAACATGCTTTTGCAGGGCAGCACTTCCGAAGATTTTGGGTGAATGATTTTTTTTGGCCAAAGGAAGCGAGAAGGCAGCATGTACTGCTATGAGCGCATGTGTGCATGGCTCCCAGTGGTCGCGTGCACTGCTGCTGCTTCAGAAGGTGTCTCCGTTGAAATTTATGCTGAGGGAGGGGTAGCGGCTGAGTAATCCTACTCATGCCCATCACTGAGGTCCGACAAGGTCCTATGGCACCAGATGCAGTGACCCTTACCACAGCTATGTCCGCTTGTGGACGTGGGCGGCACTGGCGCGGCGCCTTGCACATTTTGGAGGAAATACGACGTGGCAGCTGCGCTGATGCCGTGTCCGGTGGCATAAATGATGATGTGTACTGTATTCGTCACATAGGACTACCCAGAAAAACGTTTTCTCAGTGCGTTTCGAGGAGTTGTGATGTTCCACGGAATTGTTGCTTTCGTTGGGACATTGTTTCACGGAAATGAGGGTAGAAGGTACATGCCTTGATGCCAGCACCTGGCAACCTGAATTGATCTGAAATGGGGACACAATGATGCATTGTTTGAAAGGATCAACCAGTGTGATATTCATCACATACTTCAACTTTCACTTTCGTTTTCCTTTCACATTTTCCAACGTTGATTTTGGCTCTGTGCATGCCATCATCTCTCTTCAGAAATGGTTGGGCTCCATTGCTTGGCTTCCCTCAAGGATCTTAAGGGTTGGGTGTGCACCAAGGGCGTTGAACACCGCCCTTGGTGCCTTAGCTGCGGCCCAGCGCTGGCAACTCGCTGCCCAGCTGTTTGCGAATGAGAAGGTCCCGCAGCAGGGAGCTTTCCACGCCCTGCTGAGCCACCTGGCGACGTTGACCCACTGGCTCCCCACTTTTTCACTGTGTTTTTTTCTCACCATTTGTTTGGAAAGCTAGTCTTTAGTGTAGATCGTCGCGATGCCGTGAGCTTGCACAGCTCAAGGTGCAATGGAAACGTCCGCTCTGTGGTGGCGAGCGCTCTCACTCTTCCATGTCCCTTGTCTTGAGTGGGATCTTACAATCCTCATCCCTTAGGGGGGGCAATTCTTCACCTGGCTTCGATTCCAAGTTTTGGAGGAGGTCAAGCTTCACCCTGCTCTTCAGATCACTTCAGGTGGTTGGATTCCCCAGGTTGTTAGATGTGATCATGTGGCAAACCCAATAATAAAACCATGCCCAGGTTTATTCGGTATTCCCCTAGTTGGGATGTAACGTGACCCTCCAATGGTTGGTTACTCGGGTGGTTTATTATTGGGTTTACCACAGTTTACCACATTAGTTTGATTTCCATTCAATCTCCATTTGGTGGATTGCGGCCCGAGGAGGCCACGAAAGCAGTGTCCTTTCCGTCCTTGGTGGCGCTGAACAGCGTGTGCAGCGCTTGTGAGAAGGCTGTTGGGTACCTATAAATGCCATGGCTTTAGGGGGGGCCCACATCCATTTTAGCTAAGCGACTGTGGTGCGAACAGCAAGGGTACCAGGGTTTTGACCCAATCATGGATGCAACCCCATTAACCAAGCATGACGAAGCCGGATTTGATGGAGAATTAGTGATCACTTGTAAGTTATGTTATAAGTGACATCCTGTTTTGCCAGCAACCATGCGGCGTAAGATGTCTTAACCATGCTTAACTGACGACTTCTTCCACAGATCCCCCTGTGCTCCACGCGCCCAACTTGGCACCTTCGCCAGGCCAGTGAGTGGGAAATGGCCTTGGCTCTCTTGAGAGGCTTGGACCTTGGACAAGTTCTGGTGGGCGAATCGCAGCAATGACCAACAGAGCACTGTGCAGTGAACTGCATTTATCCTGGTTGGTGGTTTCAGCTTTTTTTCCCCTCTCGCTCTCTCTGTGTCATTCAGATTTTTACACTGCTTTCCATCCCTGGGATGGCGATCCTCCGAGCAATTCGGAGTACTGCGGCAATCCCCAGGTCCGGAGCATGATGCCATCAGCTGCAGCGCTGTGAGCTTGGCCTGCAGCCAGGCTTGGGAATTTTCTACCACCAGCAGACTCCCTTCCATCAACTGCCAGTGTTTGGTGATGTTTGGTGACGTTTGGCGCCCTCTATCCATCTTTAGCCAAAGAAAAAAATCAGAAGCAACGGAAGATGCAGTGACCTGCAGGCCTCGCGCTGGTCCTATGCTCTCTGCCTGTCAGCACCTGATGATTTGCCCAGTCGCAGCAAGCTGGTGAGGAAGGCGGCGGACTCTGGTGTCTTGACCTGCAGTGTAACATGGATGTGCCTAGATGCACAGGGCCATAGGACCATTGGGCCAATTGGGATGCTGATGGGATTTTTGGAGCATAAGTTTTTGGATTTTGGAACCTAAAGCCATTGGAGCTGGTTGGATGATTTGCGCCACTGCCGCCACTCATGTCTTCTCAGGTGCTTCAATTTTTGTGCCATTACAACAGAATCTTCTCATGACTGCAAGTCTGGCTGTTCTCAGCTGCTGGGTTGCATGGAACAGATGTTGCGTGGTGGGTGGTGCGTATTAAGCTTGTGCAACTGTCGTGGTGGCTGGTGACTGTAGCGCAAAAGCAAGCTAGCGGCGAACACTGTCGATGCTGTGAACGAAGAGCGGGTAGAGAAACTGGAAGAGGAATTCGGATAGGCACAGAGGGATAAGATTTATGTGATTAATATTGATTAACTAAATGTCAATCGAATGGCTTTGCGGTTTGGCCCCGGCCACGTAGAATCGAAGAATGGGCAGCGCGGCAGTTGTCTCAGCCGAGGCTCATCAATGGGAGCTCCTGCGGAGGAGTGCTTTCTGACCCACTGTGCAATCGCGGGACATATTTTTATACCAGTAGTACCGCACAAGGCGGTGGCGGAAGTTTCAAAAATAGGAAACCTATAGGAGAGATCTGGCTGTAGATGTAGATTCAGATTTAGATTCTTAGATCATAGATGGATGGATAAGATTAGATT